TCCCTCAGCTCTTCAGCTCAAGGCTAGCGCTCTACCACTTGAGCCACAGTGCCACTTCCGGCTTTTTTCTTTTTGCTTATGTGGTGCTGGGGAATCGAATCCAGGGCCTCATGCATGCAAGGCAAGCACTATACCACTGAGCCACCTTCTCAGCCCTCATGCATTCTTTTATATATTCAATTGATATTTATTTTTTGTTTGCTTTATCTTTTTTCTCATTTTGAGATGGTGTCTATCTCAGGCTGGCCTGGAACTTGCAGATCCTCTTATTTCAATCCCAAGACCTGAGATAACAGGCAAGGGCCAGTATAGCCAGCAGATACCTGAGAACTATCAACTATAACTAGAATGGAAGGTTAAAGATTGCAGAGTGTCTCTAGCATCCTAAAGTGTACCATGTAATGATAATATATGTTAATAGGTCATTATGAACAAAAACTAGTATTAACATTTAAAAGTACAGAAATCTGCTGACCCGTGGAACAGGTAACACTTTAGATCTCACCTGCAAGACTATTTAATGTAGTTGAAATTGAAACAAAAATTAAGCAAGATTTATTTAATCTTATATTAATTTTTATTTACTGAATTTTATCATTATATTTTTATATTAATTTTCAATCTGTTCATAAAGATAATTTTTATTATTTTCTTACATGAAGTCAGAAGTTAGCAACTGATAATTCATGTGTCTGCTCCAATGATCAATGAAAAGAATTCTGTGCAATGAGCAAACTTTTTTTTGATTTTTGGGATTTGAACTCATGTTTTCTTGGTGCTCTACCTCTTGAGCCACACCCCACTCCTAAATATACTCATGCTAGGATTACATTAATCTTCCTTCAGTAAGGCTTTCTGGGTTGTATTTCTCACAGCCATTAGGAAATTCTTGAGGTCAGTGCCTCCTGTCCCTCTGCTTTCTGAGTCTGGTGACTCCTTGGATGCATTGCCTTTCTTGGCCTGATCACGTGCAGGAGTTAGAATATACTTCTCAACTATGGTCAGATGATAACTCCTCAGGGAGACCAGAGCTTGTACACAGCTATTATATGCTTCTTGCAAGTCAGCATTGTGGCTTGAGATGACGAACTTTCGGAGTGATGGGCAATTCTCTAAGTTGTGCAAGAAGGCCTGGTGAGCTGGTGGCATATATGTTCTCATTTCCTGGAGGAACTTATCAGCAGATTCTAAGGCAACAAGACAAAGGTGAGAAACAGAGCAGCCCTGGCTTCCTTGGGGAATCATTATCCCCCATCCATAACAGCAGCTCTGAGGGTAAAATCACCATACATGAAGACTAAATAGCTATTTGTCTTCTACTAGCAATGGCAGTTATTAAACTCTACTGTTATTCTTGAAAGTAGAATGAACAAAACTCATTTAAACAATTTTAATTGTGATTGTGAAGGTGATACACAGAGGGGTTACAGCTACATAAGTTAGGTACAAAAGTCAGATACATTTCTTTTAGGACAATGTCACCCCTTCTCTCACTCTTTCCCAGACAACTCATTTTTAATCATAAGAATCTTGGCTTGTGCTGTTTTTCTTATTATCTTTCGTATTGATTTCTGCCAAGAGATCAAAGTACAGACAGGATTGGCAGATGATGATGACACTAAGCTTAAGAAAGCTTAAAGGATCACATGTGTATGTCTGTATGTGTGTGCATGCTCACACTTGTGCACATATGCACACTAGTCCTAGGGCTTGAACTTAGGGCCTGGGCATTGTCGCTGAGCTTTTTGCCCAAGCATTCTATCACTTGAGCCACAGCTCCACTTCCAACTTTTTAATTGGAGATAAGACTCTAATGATCTCAGCCTCCTGAGTAACCAGAATCACTTTGAACTGTGCCCAGATTAAGAAAAAAAATGTTTTCTCCTAGCCAAGGGCTTTCCTCTTGGTTTGTTCAATAGAAACTCAAAACATAAAGAAAAAACATTCTTTTTCTTCATCACTGAAGCCTCTAGAAAGCACATAAGAAACATGGTTCATCTTCCCCTCTGTTGTGTGTCTCAATAACCCTGTGCCACTGGGCTAGCTGGGTGGCTTTCTGAGGTCTCTGCCTCAGACTTCCGTCCATGGTTGTGTTTCATCTACAGGCAACTTTCTACGCCTGACTCGACATGGTCATAACATAAGATGCCTTTCCCAGAACATCTTGCTACTTAGCGAAGTCTCAAGTTCAAGAGGGTAATGAACTCAGGTTTGGGATTTTGTTTTTCTAGTTGATTAACAAGGAGTTTCCCACCCTCTTTTAATGAATGAGGGCTATGTAGTCCCTACTTGACTGACAACCAGAAATGAGTACCAATGAAATCCTAAGAGTCTGTCATGGCTAAACATCAGTAGTTCATACCTGTAATCCTAGTTACTCAGGAGACTGAGGTTTGAGGATCCTGGTTCGAAGCTAGCCTGGGCTGGAAAGTCCATGAGATTCTCATCTCCAATTAACCACCAAAAAAGCAGAAGTGGAAACTGTATCTCAAGTGGTAGAGTCCCAGCCTTCCTTGAGCAAAAAAGCTCAGAGACTGTGCTAGGCTCTAAATTTAAGACCCAGGACCAGCACACACACACACACACACACACACACACACAGAGTCATATTTGTGTGAGAGATGATTAATATTTGTCATTTCACACCTACCTCCACTGGCACTCTGCTCTACCCCCAGAAGGATATCAAGGCTCTGAAAGATGCTGCTTTGGGCTGCACTTCCCCCTGCAAACTTTTTGGGGGTGTCCCAAACCCCTTCATACAGCAGACCATCTGACAGCTTGGGATTGCCTTGCCAGCTGGACCAGGAAGGAAGAAAAATCAGATATAAAATCTTTCAGTAAAGATAATAGAAGGTGACAAGCAAGATTAATAGTGTGGCAGGCACCAATGGAACTTTGTGTGTTCCTACTGTTAGATAAAAGAAAAAAATCAAGCATAAAAGTACATACCCAGACAAATATATGCGTAGAACATTGAAAAATTGATTGGCATCCACATATTCTGCAAAAATATAAATGATTAATTGAATGATAGCAGAGTTACATATGGAGTTCAAGAAACTGTGAAAAACTGCCTTGAGCCACAGCCTACTATTTGAAGATCTGACTCTGCCATGGTCCAGTCCTTAATCACATTGAACACACCTATAACCTATTTATTGTCTGTCCAATAGGGCAAATTTTGTTTTGCAAATCACTGTTTATCTGGTGTTTTCAGATTTTATACTTTCAAGCTGCTGATTTTGCTGATTTTTAAGCTCAGTTGGTTTTCTCTGTTTATTAGTGAGATAGTGAAGAAGCGAAGCAGGGCTTACTGGAAGCTCTTCAAACAGGAGCTGTTTTTCAGCACTTAACACTGCTTTCATGTTTTGAAGGTCTCTACTTGATTTCTAATAGCAGGTAGGAAACTCTTTAGAGTTACATAGGTCTCCTAGTAATCCTGTCTTTGCTGTTCACTACCTAGAAAGCCTTAAGAAGTCATTTTACTTCATCTCACTGACTGGCGTCCCAATCTACAAATCTCAGATAGATAAAACAAAAATAAATAGATAACAACAAAAATAAAATAGATAAGACAGACCAAGTAGAAACATCTGTACTCAGTGATAGCTACTCTTTTCTTCACAACCCTTCACCTCAGTCAACTAGAAATGTTAACAATTAGCCTAGAATATTCTTCAGAAGATACTTACTGCGGATTTCCTCAAATACTTTGCGGGCTTCTTTCAGACAGGAACATATATGTAGCAGTGCCATTTTTGAGGTCTCCTGGTCCTCACATATCACAGCCTTGATTATCTTGGGAATTTCCTGAAAAAGGAAAAAAAACCAAAGCCAAATGCATAAGAACTTCAAGCACCAAACATTGACACAATTTAAACTTTTATCATCTTTGCAGATTGGCAAATTAAATTTATGTTTCCATTACTTGATATATTTCTAGATTCATTTGGCTTACAAAAATTGAACCCAAAGTATATTTTTGCTTAAACAAATTTATAACTAGCAACAATGGTAGCCCCTTTGTACAACTACTTAGCAATAAAAATATATAATTAAGAAAACATCACACATGATGATCAAATTGGTTTCATTCCAGGGAAAGGACAGTTCAACATATGTAAATCATAAATGTAATACAGCATATAAACAGAATATAGGACAAAAAGATCATGGTGCAGATAATTGATGCAGAAAAGGCCTTTGACAATATCCAGCAATCTCTCATTAAAGCAATGAAGAAACCAGCAATAAAAGGAATGAATCTTAACATAATAAGACCTATATATAAGAAGCCTGTACCCAGTATCATTAGGAATAAGTAAAGGTATCTACTCTCCTACTGGTATTCGATATAGTACTAGAGTTTCTAGACAAAGTAATCAGACAAAAGAATGAAATAAAAGGAAGTCAAACAGGGAAGGAAGAAATGAAATCATTACTGTTTGTTGATGATATTATTTTATACTTAAAACATCCTAAGAATTATAAAAAGTCTTTTCGGATCTACAATATCTCATATCCTAGCAACATAGCAAGATAGGAAGTTAGCATACAAAACTCAGTAGGTTTTCTTTACAGTATCCATGAACAGGCTAAGAAAGAAATCTAGAAAACAATCCCATTCTATTCAGAACAGGCTCAAAAGAAAATAATTGTATAAACTTAGCCAATGAGGTGAAAGACCTCTACAATGCAAACTAGAAAACCTTGAAGAAAGAAGCTGAAGAAGACATCATAAGATGGAAACATTTCCTATGTTCATGGATTGGTAGAATCAATATCATGAGAATGAAGATTACATCATGAAAATGGCCATACTGCCAAGAGCAGATTCAGTGTAATACTCATCGAAACCCAATGTCATTCTTTGTAAAAGAAAAACAAAACAAAACACCCACAAACTTGGTCCTAAAGTTCATATGGAAGCATAAAAGGCCCTCCAGGTAACCCTAATAATTCTGAATAAAATTGCAACACTAGAGGTACCATAATATTAAGCTTCAAATTATTCTATAGAGCCATGGTTTAATTTTTTTGTGTACTATGTACACACATAGGGTTAATGGATTATGTGTGTGTGTATGTACAATAAATTGTTATGCAGCTATAATGCAAAATGAAACTCTCAGAGAGGGGATGGAAGTTGAGACCATCATGTTAAATGAGGTCAGTCAAGTTTAAAAAATCCACATAGTGCAAGATTTTGCTAATTTTTGGAATCCAGACCCAAAATAATGATGGTAATGGTATGATTTGAATGTAGAGGGGAATTTATCTGTGGGTCATCAGTGGGAGAGGAAAAGGAAAGGATAGTGAGATGAGAAGGAGAAGGAGGAGGAGGAAGATATTCACAGAGCATTATGAAACCTACCAAGCACTGATTTCAAAAGGCTGGGTAAGGGCGTATGGGAATACAGTGAACAGGTGAACTTGTTCAAATTACATTTCAGGCATGTATGGAATTTTCATAGTAGAACCCCCTTGTGGTACATGTAATATATTGCTAATGTAAAAATAAGGTGAAAAAATCTGAACATGTCAATAAACTTTCATAAAAGTAAAAAAAAAAAGTTTCTCTTTCCATTTCTAAAAGGCATTGGTTTATGCCACTATATATTAATGACAAATTGCATCAAAGATTTTGTTTCGGGCTGGGAACGTGGCTCAGTGGTAGAGTGCTTGCCTTGCATGCATGAGGCCCTGGGTTCAATTCCTCAGCACCACATAAGCAAAAAGAAAAAAGCCGGAAGTGGTGCTGT